GAAGGGAGAAGCTTCTGCAAATCCCAACGTTGCTGCTTCCCTTGCACACCAAGCAGCTGTGTTCTGTGCTGTCTGGCCCCACTCCTCAGGGTCCTGGGAGATGGGCTGGTGCTTCAGCCAGTGACCAGAGCCTCTGGAGCACAGGTGCCTGGGGCAGGATCCACACAGCCAGCAGGAGACCTCTGCCCATTCCCACAAAAATGGGATGTTTCTGCCTCCCCCCCACCTGCACCCACAGAGCTCCAGGAATGGTTTCTGGCTGAGCTGCCACCTGGAGAAGCATCACCCTGACAAATTCCACCACTCATTTAAGGTACAAACACAAGAGTCACTTCCCCACCAGCCACTGAGCTCACAGGGATCCCAGTGCCTGGGATCACCAGCACCTTCCAACTGTTTCTATGGTTTCCAGAGCATCACCCCAGGCCGCCATGCTCATCCAGCTGCTGGGAGGAGATGGCTTCTCCCTTCCAGAACCAGCACAACTTTCCCTCCCTGAGCTCCCATGGACACGTGTCCAGCCAGGGTGTGGGGAACACAGACAGAGCAACCAGCACGTCACCAACCCCGAGGAGCTGCAGCTCCTCTTCCAACCCTACAACAACAGCCTCCAGCAAAGCCTCCCGAGGAGCCACCTCCACCTCTGCTGGACCTTGCAGCACCCTACAGGAAACTCAGAAATCAAGGGTGAGCCTCTGTGACTCCATCTCCCTCTCCCATCTGCAGGAGTTCTCCCCTCCATGGTTTCCTAGTTTCAAGCTCAGCTGTGGGACTAAAACCACCCAGGTCTGGCCCAGCCAAACCAGCCACAGCCCCACCCCGGCTCACTGGGGACCTCCAGGCCAGCCAAGACCCAGCTCCTTATTCCAACAGCAACACTCAGAACTGATGTTCCAGAAATCAGCTCCTGTCCTTGGGGTGCTCACATGCTTGCTCCTGATCCTCTTCCAGACCCATCACTGCCTGTATCCACACCAGCTGCTAACAGGCTTGTTTAAACACCAGGCAGGGTTGGGCTCTGCCAGACTCAGTGAACAGGCCTCAGGGAGCTTCTTCAGTCACCAGAAATGGTGGATTGCATCAAATGGGTGTTTGCTTGATGCTCATGAGAAAGTTCATCTCAAAAGCAAGTATTTTTGACAGAACCTTCCTGGCACAGCCTCATGGCTGTGCTGAGAGCACTTCCCAAGGCAGAGCTGCACAGACACAGCCAAGAGATTCACTCCTCCTTAGAAGACCATGGTCTGGGAGCCAAAGATGAAACAACCCCTTCAAAAAGATTTCTAACAAACTCCAAAGATGCTCCTGAAAAGATTTCCAAACTGTCCAGACCCATCTGCTGGAAGCAATTCCACTTCCCAAGGCACCAACAATCACCCCTCCCAAAGGCAGAGCAGGAGGAGCAGCTGATCAGGTGTTGAGCAGACAAAGCCCCCTCAGCTTGTGGTCACCCCAGCCACCTCTTTGGCCCAAACAAGGAGGAAAACGAACCAGCAGGAACTTGTTGAGAGATCCTGGATGCTTATCCAAGGGTGAGGAGGGCACAGCTGAAATGTTCCAACCCCCTTCCCAGCCCCTCAGGATCCTGTCCTCTCTGGCAGCAATTTCTTCATACTGTGCATCTGATATAATCCCATTACCAGCTTAGTGTTCAGCCACAACCACCACCTTTCCCTCCTCCCTTTGCCTAAATATTTCACAGCCAAGTGCTCCAGAAGTTACATTGTCCCCCTCCAGTGCCTAAAAAAGTTGCCAGATTCCCAGGACCCAGACAGCTACACACACACAAAATACAGCTCACTGCAATCAGAGTCCCTAAGAGGCCACAAATGAAACCCAGAAGATTCCCAGCAAATCCCATTTCTTCAGGGCTCCCAACAGCACCACTGATCAAAGCCTGATTAAATTCATTATCCTGCTTCCTGGGCAAGGCTCTGAGCAGCAAGTACTTGGAACATCCTTTGACTCAGAGATGCTGAACTACATCTGGAAGCTTTCACTCCATCAGCAGGCAAGCTGGAAATGCAATTTCCAATTGTTTTTTTGGCGTGTTATTTGTTTCTGCAAAAATTAAACCTAAATCCCTTCCACTCCCTAGGAAACATCAATTAATCTAATGGAGGAAAAGGTGTCAGAGCCCTGAAAGCTTATTCATTTAGGGAGGGATGAGGTTTCTGAATTCTCTGACCCCTGAGTATTCTCCCACAACAGCACCTGGGGAGCAAATGGAGATCAACCTCAGGACAAGACTGGTGCCTGACACCACAGGCCAGGGAGAAGTTTCCAGAGAAAAAATACCAAGATGGTCTTAGGATCCAGCAAAGGAGGTGGATGAAGAGCTGAGCCTTCACTGACACTTCCACTCCATCCCCTCCCAGCTCCCCAAGACTCGTGCCAACCACCCTCCAGGGGAAACCCTGGGGACACACAGGGCACGAGCAGCTGAAACCTGGAGTCAGAGGCAAGGCTGGGCAGAGGGGGCCAAAAAATAACCCCCGCTGGGAATATTTTGGGATGGAGGAGAGAGATACGTGCAGCTCTCCTCATCCAGCTGAGACACAGGGTTTGTTGCCGTGCACGTGGGACCTCCAGAGGGTGACACAAGGGAGTCCCCAACACCCCTGTGAGGGACACCCTGATTCCAGAGGATGGGAATGCTATGGGGAAGGAGGCCCAACCCCTGGAGAAAGGCACCACCAGAGGCAGGGGTGAGGGATGGAGACCCCATGGAAACCCCCCACTCAGAGAACAACCAGCAGGACTGATCCCGGGGTGCTTGGGAGGGGGGAATTCAGGGAAAGACCCGGATTAGGGAACAGATGCCAGGAGGTGGGAAGGCTGAGATGGAGGGGTGAGCAGGGGGCGACCTGGGGAGGGGG